CAATATTTTTTAGTATTGCAATATGCGGATAGTAACTTAAGAAATTATTTGAAAGAGAATTTTGAAAAACTTACATGGAATGACAAACTACGTATGGCAATTGAAATTGCGAAGGGTCTTATACGTTTACATGAAGGTATTAAAAAGGTTATCCACAAAGAACTTGTAAGAGTTACATTTTCACAATACTTGTGAATGCCGTTTTAAAGATAATTTAGTAAACGTTGATTTTTTTATAATTTTTAATAGCATTCTATGAATATTTTAGTTCACGAAAACCGAATGTTAATAGCTGATTTTGGCATACCGAAGTGGAAAGGTGATCCTACAAATTCCACAAGTCATGGAATGCCCGCTTATATGGATCCCAGATATCTTGCTAACCATAGATATGAGCTTGATGAAAAATCTAATGCATACAGTTTTGGTGTTATGCTCTGGGAAATTTCAAGTGGTCGTCCACCTTTCCAATCGTTAAAAGAGAGAGATGCTATAACATATCAAATTTTTGCAGAAAAAAGAGAAACTCCGGTGGAAGGCACACCGGAACAATATATTCAACTCTACACACGATGTTGGGATGACGATCCTAGTAAGCGACCGGACATCCAAGAAGCACTTGTAGATCTGCTTGCGATAAACAAGTCAGAAATAGTGGAGATCCAACCAAAAGGACCTAAAATAAGTATAACAAACTTACCAAATAATCATATGTCCAATTCCCTGATATCCTCCCCTAAAAATGTGAAATTCCTTGATCAATCAGAAACTCCTGAAATAGAAATAAATAAATCTCACCTAATAAAAGATGAACATTTTAGACTTATTTCTAAATGGATCAATAAAACGCCACCTAAAAGTGGAATTATTTCAAAACATCTTACGCAAATTAAACCGCAACATAAACACGGTTATGATTTCAAGCTACTCATTAGGGGAAGTCGAGATGGATTTACTCCTGCTGATTTTCATGACAAGTGCGATGAAAAAGGACCAACACTAACAATTTTAAAAGTCAAAGGCGAAAATGAAATTTTAGGTGGATATAATCCATTTAGTTGGGAATCGCCATCTGAGATAAGATTTTATTATACGCACAAAAGTTTTCTATTTAGTTTAGATGTTAACAAACCAGAAAATTCGATACTTAGTAGGGCAAGACAACATGAATCTGTTACATCCTCAAAAGACTATGGACCGTATTTTAGAGGTGACTTGAGCATGTCAAAAAATTTTAAATTAGATCTTGATTGTCGATGTTATAGGTGGTATTATGAAAAGCCAATTAGAAAATCAAATGAGAATTTTTCAGTGGAAGAATATGAAGTGTTCCAAGTTATAAAAATGCAAAGCTAATATTTATTGGTAAGTTTATATTAAGCCAATAGTCT